TTTAGGCTATTTCTTTAACATCCTGACTCTCTGTGTTAATAGGAGGATGCCTGGATCCCAATGTTAGGAACAACTTCCTTGTTTGTCAGGAGGAGGGTGGGGAGCAGGGTGGGGAATTAAGTGCAGACAAGCAGAGAAGAAGAGGTAAGATTCATGTGATGAAATCTATCTTGTGTGGATTTCTTGGGCTATTGTTCAGTTGCTATGAAGTCTTAAAATTCATTTGACATCTTGAATTTTCTTATATTTTAGCAGTAGGCGGTTAGGATGATCTGCAGCCCCTGGTGTGGACGAATCTTGCCTCCCAATCAACTGCAGTCATCGTTGGAAGATGCGGTAAGATTAATTCTGCTCGCTGCAAACTTTCCCCATCTTTTACTTGTCAATTGATGTTGAGCTGGTTTGGCCTTGACCTCTTGTCTTCCACTGACAGGATGCAGAAGAGAAGGACCCATCCCAAGGAGCAGAAGAGGACCCAGTTCATCAGCAGAGAGCCTGATAGAGAAGCTTTTTGATTTATCCCTCTGTCTCTCTTTCTGTCCCCTCCTTACTCTAACAGGACTAACCATCTCCCTTCCCCTCCTCTACTCTCACCTCTCTTATGCCCTTTCCCAAAGTAACAGACCCCTTTTGCTAACTTATTTTTCAAGTAATTTTGTAACTTTTGCTTATAGTTTTGTGAATTTTTGCAATTGTTTTGTGAATTTCTATTTTCATTTCTGTAATTGTTTTGATATTTTACTAATCTTTTGTCAGTTGTATATTTTCAGGGTTCAGATGAGGGACGACGACAGAAGAGGACTTTGGCCGGCCAAAAGAAGAAGAGGACTGCATTGCCCAGCTATGAGCAGAAACCAACATTGGCCAGAGTGGTAAGAACATACTACATTTGTTGCAATTTTGATTCCCTGTTGTTTTTATTCTAAGTTGATCAAAACATTTAGGCTATTTCTTTAACATCCTGACTCTCTGTGTTAATAGGAGGATGCCTGGATCCCAATGTTAGGAACAACTTCCTTGTTTGTCAGGAGGAGGGTGGGGAGCAGGGTGGGGAATTAAGTGCAGACAAGCAGAGAAGAAGAGGTAAGATTCATGTGATGAAATCTATCTTGTGTGGATTTCTTGGGCTATTGTTCAGTTGCTATGAAGTCTTAAAATTCATTTGACATCTTGAATTTTGTTTTATTTTAGCAGTAGGCGGTTAGGATGATCTGCAGCCCCTGGTGTGGACGAATCTTGCCTCCCAATCAACTGCAGTCATCGTTTGAAGATGCGGTAAGATTAATTCTGCTCGCTGCAAACTTTCCCCATCTTTTACTTGTCAATTGATGTTGAGCTGGTTTGGCCTTGACCTCTTGTCTTCCACTGACAGGATGCAGAAGAGAAGGACCCATCCCAAGGAGCAGAAGAGGACCCAGTTCATCAGCAGAGAGCCTGATAGAGAAGCTTTTTGATTTATCCCTCTGTCTCTCTTTCTGTCCCCTCCTTACTCTAACAGGACTAACCATCTCCCTTCCCCTCCTCTACTCTCACCTCTCTTATGCCCTTTCCCAAAGTAACAGACCCCTTTTGCTAACTTATTTTTCAAGTAATTTTGTAACTTTTGCTTATAGTTTTGTGAATTTTTGCAATTGTTTTGTGAATTTCTATTTTCATTTCTGTAATTGTTTTGATATTTTACTAATCTTTTGTCAGTTGTATATTTTCAGGGTTCAGATGAGGGACGACGACAGAAGAGGACTTTGGCCGGCCAAAAGAAGAAGAGGACTGCATTGCCCAGCTATGAGCAGAAACCAACATTGGCCAGAGTGGTAAGAACATACTACATTTGTTGCAATTTTGATTCCCTGTTGTTTTTATTCTAAGTTGATCAAAACATTTAGGCTATTTCTTTAACATCCTGACTCTCTGTGTTAATAGGAGGATGCCTGGATCCCAATGTTAGGAACAACTTCCTTGTTTGTCAGGAGGAGGGTGGGGAGCAGGGTGGGGAATTAAGTGCAGACAAGCAGAGAAGAAGAGGTAAGATTCATGTGATGAAATCTATCTTGTGTGGATTTCTTGGGCTATTGTTCAGTTGCTATGAAGTCTTAAAATTCATTTGACATCTTGAATTTTCTTATATTTTAGCAGTAGGCGGTTAGGATGATCTGCAGCCCCTGGTGTGGACGAATCTTGCCTCCCAATCAACTGCAGTCATCGTTGGAAGATGCGGTAAGATTAATTCTGCTCGCTGCAAACTTTCCCCATCTTTTACTTGTCAATTGATGTTGACCTGGTTTGGCCTTGACCTCTTGTCTTCCACTGACAGGATGCAGAAGAGAAGGACCCATCCCAAGGAGCAGAAGAGGACCCAGTTCATCAGCAGAGAGCCTGATAGAGAAGCTTTTTGATTTATCCCTCTGTCTCTCTTTCTGTCCCCTCCTTACTCTAACAGGACTAACCATCTCCCTTCCCCTCCTCTACTCTCACCTCTCTTATGCCCTTTCCCAAAGTAACAGACCCCTTTTGCTAACTTATTTTTCAAGTAATTTTGTAACTTTTGCTTATAGTTTTGTGAATTTTTGCAATTGTTTTGTGAATTTCTATTTTCATTTCTGTAATTGTTTTGATATTTTACTAATCTTTTGTCAGTTGTATATTTTCAGGGGTTCAGATGAGGGACGACGACAGAAGAGGACTTTGGCCGGCCAAAAGAAGAAGAGGACTGCATTGCCCAGCTATGAGCAGAAACCAACATTGGCCAGAGTGGTAAGAACATACTACATTTGTTGCAATTTTGATTCCCTGTTGTTTTTATTCTAAGTTGATCAAAACATTTAGGCTATTTCTTTAACATCCTGAGTCTCTGTGTTATTAGGAGGATGCCTGGATCCCAATGTTAGGAACAACTTCCTTGTTTGTCAGGAGGAGGGTGGGGAGCAGGGTGGGGAATTAAGTGCAGACAAGCAGAGAAGAAGAGGTAAGATTCATGTGATGAAATCTATCTTGTGTGGATTTCTTGGGCTATTGTTCAGTTGCTATGAAGTCTTAAAATTCATTTGACATCTTGAATTTTCTTATATTTTAGCAGTAGGCGGTTAGGATGATCTGCAGCCCCTGGTGTGGACGAATCTTGCCTCCCAATCAACTGCAGTCATCGTTGGAAGATGCGGTAAGATTAATTCTGCTCGCTGCAAACTTTCTCCATCTTTTACTTGTCAATTGATGTTGACCTGGTTTGGCCTTGACCTCTTGTCTTCCACTGACAGGATGCAGAAGAGAAGGACCCATCCCAAGGAGCAGAAGAGGACCCAGTTCATCAGCAGAGAGCCTGATAGAGAAGCTTTTTGATTTATCCCTCTGTCTCTCTTTCTGTCCCCTCCTTACTCTAACAGGACTAACCATCTCCCTTCCCCTCCTCTACTCTCACCTCTCTTATGCCCTTTCCCAAAGTAACAGACCCCTTTTGCTAACTTATTTTTCAAGTAATTTTGTAACTTTTGCTTATAGTTTTGTGAATTTTTGCAATTGTTTTGTGAATTTCTATTTTCATTTCTGTAATTGTTTTGATATTTTACTAATCTTTTGTCAGTTGTATATTTTCAGGGGTTCAGATGAGGGACGACGACAGAAGAGGACTTTGGCCGGCCAAAAGAAGAAGAGGACTGCATTGCCCAGCTATGAGCAGAAACCAACATTGGCCAGAGTGGTAAGAACATACTACATTTGTTGCAATTTTGATTCCCTGTTGTTTTTATTCTAAGTTGATCAAAACATTTAGGCTATTTCTTTAACATCCTGACTCTCTGTGTTATTAGGAGGATGCCTGGATCCCAATGTTAGGAACAACTTCCTTGTTTGTCAGGAGGAGGGTGGGGAGCAGGGTGGGGAATTAAGTGCAGACAAGCAGAGAAGAAGAGGTAAGATTCATGTGATGAAATCTATCTTGTGTGGATTTCTTGGGCTATTGTTCAGTTGCTATGAAGTCTTAAAATTCATTTGACATCTTGAATTTTCTTATATTTTAGCAGTAGGCGGTTAGGATGATCTGCAGCCCCTGGTGTGGACGAATCTTGCCTCCCAATCAACTGCAGTCATCGTTGGAAGATGCGGTAAGATTAATTCTGCTCGCTGCAAACTTTCTCCATCTTTTACTTGTCAATTGATGTTGACCTGGTTTGGCCTTGACCTCTTGTCTTCCACTGACAAGATGCAGAAGAGAAGGACCCATCCCAAGGAGTAGAACAGAAGGACCTAAGCCATGAAGCAGAGGAGAAGGACCCATCCCATGAAACAAAAGAGATGGACCAATCCTTATGTGCAGAGTAGAAGGAACCTTCTTAAGGAGCAGAAGAGAAGGAACCATCCTCTTGAACAGAAGAGAATGACCCATCCCAAGGAGCACAAGAGAAGACCCATTTCAAAGAGGGAAAGAGAAGGACCCATCCCAAGGAGCAGAAGAGAAGGACCCATCCCAAGGAGCAGAAGAGGACCAAGTTCATCAGCTGAAGATGGGTAAGGAGCATGGAATTTAGTGTTGCATAATGGACTAAAGGGTGAGATTCATATCAGAATAGTTGTATTGTCATAGGAAATTCAATCCCAGAGATACGACTCCGTTATTTGTCAGCAGGAGTCTTAAGATAAGGGATCGATTGTGGCAAACCATGAAAAAAGATTCATGTCATAATGCCAGTACTCTCTAGATTTTAGAGGTGCTCATCCTTTATACATTGAGATTGTTTCTCTACTTTTATTGAGCAGTTTTAGACAAACCTCTATCCAGAATCCTTAAGAGAAGAATCTCACCTGAAAGCAAGAGTGCTGAGCGTTTTGGGATAGACTGCTGTAAACCCTACGAATGATGGTAAGATGCAATATGCCAATCCAGTATTCTATTGATTTTCATCATTTTTTCCACTTTACAAATGTAAGCAATTCTTTTACTATTTGATATTTTGTATTAATAAGTCAGGATTAGATCTAGTAGTGCTAGTGTAGATCCCGAGACAAGCTGGTGACTTTCATCTGACAGAAAGTGTACAAAATGTTTTGAGGGATCAAGTGCAGCCAACCCAAGAATTGATGGTAAAATATTTTATATGTTGATGTGTTTCTGGCTCTCTGAAGATTTATAGCTCTCCAAGTGTCAAAAAAATTCTTTTTCCTTAGACCTATAGATGTTCTTTGTTTATACATACAGGGTTGGACTGGTTTTCATTCTCATAAGAGCAGACAGTTACCTACCAGCAAAAGTTCAGGGATTGACTATGGCCAACCCAAGACATGATGGTAAGACACAATGGCAGATCTCGCACTGTCTGACCTTTTTAGCTCACCTAAGCCGAGTTTTTCCTGATCAAAATTTGTTTGTTGTTGTCAGCATTGTCATCATCCTTTTCCTTGTAAACTTTTTACAATATCATCTTTTCTATAGAACGTATAGAAATTTCATGGAATTCTCTCCCCAAAATATTAGGCTTCGAATTGTCAAATTAATACAAAAATGCCCTCAGGTAATTTAAGTTGAAATTTGTGTAAATCGTTGCTCTTTAAATCTAGGTGGAGCTGACTCAAGTTTTGTGAAAAAAAGAGTAGTTTAGAAAAAAGAACACACTTTGGCTCAGAAAAAAATACAGTGACATTCAGGTGATTGTAAAAGCCTTTAGGCCTCTAAATTTGGCATTGTTTCTGAAATGCATTAATTGATTTTATGTTATTGAAACTTAATACCGTACTTGTTTTTATTTTCAGAAATACTGAAGTCTATACGATATCACTTTTTGACCTTTCATTTGTTAAACTGACATTTTTTTAATTTGATAGAAAACATCCTATGAATCATCTGAGCTGTCTTGATAGTTGCGGAAGGAAGAAAGTTCGGCAACACATCAAAATAAATTCATGTTATGGATCATTAGAAATGAAAGGAGAGACTGTTGAAGGAGATATAGAACTCTATTTCGAACTAGTGTGAAGGATTTGTGACCTTTTATTATGAATCTGAGACCCTATGTGAAGGATCTGTTACCTACATATAGTGTGAAAAATTGTTTACCTCGTATGAAGGATCTGTGACCTTGTGAAGGTTCTTGACCTTTCGTGAAGGTTTTGTGACCCAATGAAAAGGTTCTGCTGCCTTGTGTTAAGGATATGTAACCTTGTTTGAAGGATCTGTGACCTTGTGTGAAAGATCTGTGACCTTATGTGAAGGATATGTGACCTTCTGCGAAGACCTTGTGTGAAGGATGTGTGACCTTGTGAGAAGGATATTGCATTTTCCGGTCTTTGTTCCTTCCTTTCTTTTGTTGCTGTTTTGAACCAAAAAACGTATGTGCTATTATCACCCCAGCAGTTAATTTCTTTGTTACACCAGTTGACGTATTTACCAGTTTATAGTTCTATCAAATGAATGCGATGTCTTGCATTCACCCTTCGACTTCCATTATTTTTTGTTGGACACATGTGTGACTTTTTATCCATACGATTATACTCTAGCCTTTGATGTTTAATGCTGTTTGGAAAATTTATGATGAGTGCAGTATAACAATTTTTTGTGTTATGTAGTATTAGCAAAACTTAACTGCCCTAACAACATGTAAACAATGTTATGGAAACGTTTTGTAACTAAGTGTTCGTTATTTAGGCTACAGCCATAATTTTTATCAGAATATATTGCATGGGCAAACATTCGATTATTAAAGGGTCATTATTAAATGGTCACTTTCTAGTGCACACTGTCCTGAGAAAAACGTTTTTTATCAATATAAATTTATGTCTATATTGCAAAATCCATAACTCATGAAAATATTGTTTCATAATTAAATAGAGTGAGGTTCCGCCACTCAAATTTTTGCTTACTCTGCAATTTGCCGCGGTTCACAGGTTTCCATCATTTTTTTTTTCAAATTTTGAAAGATTTTGTTTTTAAAATATGGTTTTTCCTGGGCGGCAGAGGAGGCTTATTTTATTTTTGGATGCATTTTAATGTGCATTTTGTTATGAATATGCAATGTTGCATGAAAACTGCTTTGTTTGCATGTTAATTTCTTTGGAAAATAAACCTGGCCTAAACCTGGATAGTGCTTTTTAATGCAATTTAAGGGGTTTTAATAATCGTATATGTAGGCATAAAGTGTAGTGAAGTGACTGGTCATCTTAATTCATTTTATGTGTGTTATATGTCTATTTGTTTTGACATTTCAATTCATATACAATGTATAATGCACTACTTATAATAAATGACTTTTGCTTCCTAAAATCTTTTCAGAGTCATTGTATAACAGTAGCCATTTTCAAAGTACATATACATGTAATAGCATATAAATTCAATATTCATGTAAATCTTCATAAATTGTGACAACAAATAAACAATATTGAATAACATGTAAATCTGAGTACTTTTTTTCTTTGCAGCCATCTTAGAGAGTTTTGTAGTGAAATGTTATTGGAACTTTATATACTTAGCAAATATAAAACATAACTGCTATAATTATCCATGCTCATGGTGTAATAACAAATAAAAAGTAATTAACGTAAATCTAAGGGTTTTTTTTCTCTGTATTGCAGCGATCTGAGAGAGAATTGTGCAATGACTTTGGGAAATCTATAATTATCAAACGAACTGACAGTTAAACTGTTAATCTTGACTTTGTGCAATACTTTTAAATGAAATTGAGTTTTTTTTTTCTTTTTTCCCTCCTTTTTCTTGCAGCCAAAGAATTGAAGATACACATATCTTTAATTAGTCCTTTGAATTTAAGATATCAAATTATTTGATGCATTACACAACAATCCAATTAAAGTTATCTTCAAGTATTCAAGATAATTTTCAATTCTGAATTAATTTACACATTACTTCATTAATTGTTTATATATAACATTAATTCATTTGCAGAATTCATTTGCAGAATTAATGCACACAATAATTGATTTGTTGCTTTCTTTCAATGAATTAACAAATTCAACAAAGGAATTAATAAATCATAATTAATTATGGAAAGCAATATTGCAATAAATGCACACAATATTTAATTTATTATTTTTCTCTCCAATTTGTTCAAAGAAATTGAGGAGTTGTGCTGATGACAAACCAGGATTTGCTAATGGTGATGATGTCTTCAATTAAATTCAAAATTTCATTATTTCCAATGATGCATTCATAAATTCCTTAAAGAAAGATAACTCTTACCTGTAAGTGAGAATAGAACTTTCGAGATAAAGGCGGAAATAGTATCGATGACGTCGGAGACATCTGCACTCTCCATATAAAAATATTTAGACCTTCCATATCCACTCTACATGTAGACAAGATGACATAGTCTTCTTGCACATGCATACACGTGCACGCACGTGCAATGCATAAAATGACCTATATATTCAATATAGCCGTATCTTTTGTATTTTTGATGTACTGCTTTGATACTCAGAATATATAGACATATCATAAATGTAGACAAAATGACATTGTCAATATGCACACGCATACACGTGTGGCCGCGTGCAATGCATAAAATGACCTATATATTTAATATAGCCGTATTTTTTGTGTTTTTTATGAAATGCTTTGATACTAAATATATGAAGAGACATTATAAGTGCAGACAAGATACATGTAACATTGTTTTCCTGCACGTGCTTGCACGTGCGCGCGCGTGCAATGCTAAAATAACCAATATACTTGATATAGCTGTAACTTTTATATTTTTGATGAAACACTTTGATACTCAAAATATTTAGATATATTAATAGTGTAGATGAGATGACATGGTCATCATGGACATGCATGCAAGTGCGCGCGCGTGCAATGCGTAAAATGACAAGTATACTTAATATAGCCGATTTTTTTTAATCTTTTAATGAAATTTGAATATAAAGATGTATTTAAAGTGTAGACAAGTTGACATGGTGATTATGTACATGCATGCCCGTGCGCGCGCATGTAATGCGTAAAAGGACCAACATACTTGATTGCCATAGTTAAAGCTTACTGGGAATATGACACCAAAAGGGATTTGCGGAGCGTTTGGGGAACATCTGATACGGTCCCCGTTACATTAAATACTAGTTTAAATCGTTTTAATGGACAATCTTACATTTGTAAAAACATTGGTGGTGGTGGTGGTGGTTGTGGGTGTCCCCAATTAATTGCCAACGTATAATATACAGTAGTGCTCCCTTCATAACAGCGCCTGTGACCTTTTTTGTTACTTGTCAATTGTCAAGGGATTTCTGTTGGATTGTGCCTCCTCCTCCCCCTCCCTTCCCCCCCCCCCCCAAACACACACACACACGGAAACTGATTCTTTGCCTGATGTCAACTGATTTTACAAGGAGTAAAATAAATACATTGTATTATGATTTTTCATTAGTATTTGTGGTATAAATGCTTATACCAACAAATGTTACTCAGGATCCTACGTGAAGCCCCCCCCCCCCTTTCTGACGTTATATAAGCCTTCAATATCTCCCCCGTCAAAAAACTACTGAATTATTTGCCTGCAAGGATATGTTTAGGATTTAAGAAGAAATACTCCTTCCTCCTATTTACTGTATTCCATCCTCGGCTTCACCCTTTAAAAATTCCTGAATCCGCCAATTTTTGTTATTATTGTAATATTCCTGTTATCAAAGGATTTATTCAAGCATGCGTATTAAAGATATTAAAGATAACAAAACAGGCAGTATCATCTATGAACAGTGGCAGTTGGCATTAAAGGGTTTTTATCACGTATCTAAATTTCTTAAAAATGAAGCACTATTATATTCTTGAAACATATTATTATCGTTTAATTATGAAATAATGTTGAAAACGGCCGTAATTAGACGATAAAACGCCCGTAATATACCGGTAGGGTCCTCGAAGTAAAAATCTCCACTAATAAGATAGGGGTCATGTGGTACTGAAACGTCATAGGTGTCAACATCCTCGCAAGCCAGGGGTCCTGAGTCAACACGTTGCCGTTGGTCCAACGGCAACGTGTTGACTCAGGACCCCTGGCTTGCGAGGATGAGGTGTCAATGGTCAATAGAACTCGTAAAGCTTACGGTCCTACTAAACAGAGAACCCTAGAGAACTCTAGAGAACCCTAGAGAACTCAAGGTTTATTTGGTCAATTCAAGTAAATTTTATGCATAATTGAGTTTATTTTTACTTTATAAGTCATATTCTACATGTATCTATAAAATCAATAACATGATTTTTTTTATGGATGTTTTCCCTCGAAAAAAGTTGAAAACGTAACATAGATTAGTATAATATTTTATGTCATCCCGATCCCGACTGAATTTCAAATACGTTGTTAATTGAAATAATAATTTTACCACATAATTTTACAATTCTTTTTCACATTATTTTTTATTTAATTTTAATTTTTTTTAAGTTATATAGAACTCTTAGTCATTAATTCTGGCGTAAACTTATTTGAAAAAATAATTAAAATAACACAAAGTATGATGAAGTCATCATACATTAGTATTCCATTGAAAATAAGCATAACACCTGGCATAATATTCTTTCTTTTTTAATTTTATTTTGTTTTTGTATGATATATTGGTTATTTAAAACATAAATATTTCATTTACAAACAATAAATAATTAAAAAACATTAGCAGAGAGAAATAACCTGAAAATATGCCGACAATTGGAGAGAGGTCACCGAAGACGAAGCCGTTGACAACTCGGGACTTCAACTAAATAGAACGAATTACTAAAGTTTATCTTTGTAAACATTTATAAATATGTGAATTTAAATTCTTCTTCATTATTATTTTAATTAATTATAAATAAATCCTGTATATCTTCTATCTGTTCTAGCAGTGAATATCATGTACTAGAAATGACACTTCTTCAATGGCGCCGTACGCCATTACGAAGTTCACAACATTCCTACTAGATTCTGTGCGACTTTTAAAATATGTGTTTGTCATTTATTATTTTTTTTTTTTAAAAAGTATCTTTCCTTTAAATATTTTTTTAGGACAGAAAAAAAATCGTGAACGATCGGGCATAAACGATTGTTCTGAATGGAGATAAACGCCATGATGCGATGTCGCATTTGCAGAGAAAGGCCCCCCTTTTATCTCTCGACCAAGTCCAGGAAATGTGGGGACAAAATTCTTCCTAAAACCATTCTTGTACGTGCACATTTGTGCACCATAAAGCCATAAATTTTACCTTTCAAGTTATCACTTAATTATTTTCTAACAGGTTTAAAAGACACAACAAATTAGCCCTTTTGTATACACAGTAAGTACTTTGCTTGACCAGGATTGACATCTATGACGTCAGAGCAATGGCGCGTAACATCGGCGATCAAAATATGCATATTTAGAAATTCAAACTTTGAATCGCTGAAACATCAAAAATATCAATTTTCTAGCAAAGATTTTTAAATATATGATTTTAATGGCATGTAAACTTTGTCATATCAACAAATTTTGAAACGTGATAAAAACCCTTTAAGCAGTTGGCAGTAAGCAGTTGACTGTCGTATATGGAATTCCAAATAAAACAAATAGAAAGATATTCTTAATTTTGGCTATCTGAACTCAACAAAAATACGCCTTATATGACTTAAATGTCACTTCACTCATTTACACATTCAGGCAAAAGAAGATGGGCGAACAAGGCGAGCAAAATGCCTATTGTGTGACAAATATGAAAGTGAAAAATTAAATTTCAATTATGACAAAATTTTCTTTGATATTTCAACTACAGTGTAACATTAACGTATACTTTACGAAAAATTTCCACAAATCGCAACAATGTCACAAAGATTGAAATTATTCTTTTATGAAATCATATATACATATACCAAAGAAAATTGAGAAAATGATCAATTGTTGATACTTAAAAACAATTTTTCATGTATGAGTGGGCCTTCGCTCCATTATTATTATTATTTTTTTTTTTTGAAAGATTACACTCAAAGTATCAAGAAAATATACATTCTTCGGTGAACAAAAACATAGAGCAAAGACCTACTCTATCTTAAAAATACACTTTTATGACAACAATCGTATCTTTCCGAGAGATATTTGAAGTCCATTTAGTCAAGGGTCATATCACAAGTATGATTAAAATGCCAGCGGAGTGATACGCGTGTTAGTCTCAAAGAGAAAATTAAAACTCAGGATTTTTAATGCTTGGGTTCGAATCCAAAGAACATAACATTTTTTTTTAAACATAGACTGATTTTTGCAGAAAGATTTTGTTTGTCATAATTTCATACCTCTCAATGATAAGAACTTTACTCTAAAATCTCATTTCTCATATTGAATATGACTTTTATATGTTTAAAGCTTTATGCAATTTGCACGCCTTCTTCTCGATCTCCTTTTCAGTTGTATAAGCGTTCCGAATTAATTGCATGATATATTAAAGAAAAGATTTTTTTTCAATAAAAACAATGAAAAAAAAACCTCTTCTCACAATGAAATGCATGGATCTTGTTTCATATAGATAGTTTTCAGTACGCCCAAATTAGCAAGAGTTATTTCCCGTTGGCTGCCATATTGGAGGTCAACATGCTCATATTCCTTCATTATTCAACCAACTTTAACTTTTTATACTGGCCATTGTGGGGTAAGGAGCATTGTTTTTCTGAAAAATATACATTTGTTAAAGCCTCCTTTATTTCATAATTTTTATTCTATAAAGATTTTCCCCCAAATATTTCTGCTACACCCTCTTAGATTTGGTAAGACAAAGAGGAAAAATTACCAGGTTGACCACCAAGATGGTGGCCAAGGGAAATAACTCGGAGAGAATATACGTCATATGAAAACTATCTATATACGAAATCTTGGCATGCAGCAGCAAATAATTTAACTTCTGTAATGGTTTTTCTTTTACGTTGCACACAAACAATGCAGATCTGACAATAAACTGGAACTTACCTGAAAGTGACCAATGGACCTATAATACGATTGATTCCTGTATCGATTCCAATAATTAAGACCATTACATTTTCGACAGAACAAAATGAATAAGATAAAAAAAAAATATAGTTGTCTCTCTTAAAAATTTAACTTCCATTACGGTAATCCAAGATGTTTTTGCATTTCAGTTAAAAAAAAGTTTCATTATTTTTGGAGCGAAATACTTAACACTTTTGATTAATATCTTAAAACAAACCTTATTTATATCTATTACCAAGAATTTCAACTTTTATTACTGATAATTAAGTTCAGTAACGATTAACTAATGATTTTCCCCCCGAAATTTAAACTTAATTCACTGAACCAGATTCCAGCCAGACTTCAAAAATCATATTTTCATACTGTTCTATACTCAACATCAGAAAACGAAAAATACTGACTCCTGTTATAGCATTTTCTTCTGTAACATTGCTTTGTGACCACTGATATATTGAAATTGTTGTGTATTCCCTGTGACAAGACTTCTCTTTGGGTACCAATATTTTTTACCTCTTGGCCTTGGAGTTTGACCTACTTTTGAAAACTTTGACCAAACTTGAACCATGGCTATTACTTTTGATCGGTTGGTTCCAGGGCTTTCATATGTCACATGTGTATTCCTTGTAACACGACCTTTATGGGTATCATTTTTGAATTCTTGTCCTTGATCTTGGAGTTTGACCTACATTTGAAAAAACTTTAACCTTGACCATTAGCTGTCATACGGAGACATCAGTGTTTTACAAACACATCTTTTTTTTTTAATTTTGATCCACGTTCGGTGTTGCCCTGTGAAATTCTTGTTTACTTTTTGTTACACTTCACTACATAAAATTTTTATTTCGATGAAAGGTGCAGCCGTGGTTATTAAACATTGAAATTCCGTGAAATTCGTTCGTAACGCAACTTCTACTACAGTTTTATTTTGATATCAAGAAACAACGTTTATGTATACAAATACATAACTATTTTTAATTGTTTCGATGAAATTCTATCAAAAAGGAAGTGTTTTTTCTCCTTACCACTAAGATAAATTTTACTTGGCATTCAATTTTGATTTCGATGAATGTTATTACCATTGTTAAAAATATTTTTTTTTTTTAAAAAATGTGAAAATCTTTCAGAACGCCACTCATTTAAGTTTTTTTGTTTTGCTGTTTTTGTTTTGTTGTTTGTTTGTTTTTTGATTTCAATAAAACGTAGTACACTGTATATACATTATGTAGACTTTACTAAGATACATAACTATGTTATTAAGATTTGGATACTAACTAAGAGTCGGCGTTCTCAAAGTTACTAAAATTAACTTATCAGAATGCGACTCCTCCTTCAGTAAGTGGTCTGATTTCTATAAAACCTTGATACACATGTAAACTAAACCAAAGATCATACTTCTGTTTATTAGTGGTGTCATAGCTGTTAGTTGTCAAATCCAGGTGCTACTTATTTCTTCTTTTTATAAATACAAACTCATTAGTGCTACAGTCTTGTCAGAGAAGATAGCAACAGGGAATACAGATTAAAATATGAATTTCCTTTTTAAACAAACAAAATACACATACACACACACATCCTCACAAAACAAAAAACACCCCCCCCCCCCCAAAATGTAGATGAACCGTGAAGAAATAGCTTTTGTACTCCAAGGAACATGGGTCATATGTATACAAACAATGTCGATGAAACACAGGTTTTCACTTATTTCAAAGAAATGTTTAAACGAAAATCTACAATACAACCTGTTGTTACCTCGAGCCTTGATTAGTTCTTCACGAACTTCTGTATATTCCTTTTCGGATTTGCACAATTACTCTCACGTCACTAATTATTAACATTGGAAATGGATACATAAAAATAGAATTTCTTTTTTATTTAATTCTAGGAATTATGATCTTGTGTATTACAACTGCCCATTTGAAACTTCTGTCAAGTACATACCTTGGTATGTACCAAACGACTTTAAGCATTTCTGACACGGAGTCTTTAAAATATGAATGATAAATCACACAAATAATATTAAAAACAAAAATCTTTTAACATTCCTTAGTCTTTAAAATATGAATTTCGCTTTATTTTCTGCCTCCAAATTCTAAAATTGGGCAAGCCCCATGATCCATTGAACTTCAACTGGGAGCTCAAAAGTAGACAGCCATGTGTTCCTCTGTACGTTCCAACATTCTATATCTTCTTGCAGATTTTCCCCTCTATTGGTAGATGACCCGCCAATCAAATACATTTTATTACCTAAAAGAAAACAGCATAAGTGTATCCAAAAGAACCATCATAAAAGCCGTATTTTTTTTTTGTTTTTTTGAAATTTTACGATTTGCATGACCTTTGAAAGGTATCAAATTATTTTTCTGCGTTTTTAATTTATGTGGTTGCATTGTACCGCATTAAAAAAAAATTATCATACACTAATCACATGATTTTACAGGTTTAATCATGCAAAAAAAAAAAAAAAAACCTTTACGTACGCACAATTTTACAGCGTTCGGTAATAAATAATGACGTGTTTACAAAATATCTCATCCTCACAATGTCAAGGTTTTGTGATTTCGGAACTCCACACAAACCCTTGACATAAGTCGTTATTTAAAAGTTGGGCTAGAAACCTGCTATTTCATTTGTTCCTGGTGCAGGACTGGAACCAATCAGAAAACAGCTTTTATTGTAGGTAAGTTTTGTAAACAAATATGACTCCTCTTTAAAATGGAAAGTGTCAATATTGTAGGATGTGTGACTAGTTACTGTAAATAAAACATCGGGAATTAATTTTTTAAAGATCGTCCTCCTTGCAATCACAAAAGATTTGCTCTGGAGTGGGGCAATTTGATAACAACGGATTTGAAAAATATATTCTCATTTGTTAGTTTCTAAAATTACCCATTACGCATGTGTAACCACAAGCCCAACTTTTAAATAACGACTTATGTCAAGGTTTTCTGTGGAGTTCCGAAATCACAAAACCTTGATATTGTGAGGATGAAACTATCTTAAATATTTAATGAATATTTTGCAATTGCAATTTTTGCGGATTTGTCCTTTGCACAGAATCCTGCAAAAATTGGATAACCGCAGAAAATACCCGTCATAAGGTATACTGCGTAGTGCCTCGTTATGGTTTTCCGAAGATGTACAAATGCCTTAAATTAATTTAAACAATTATTAAGTTGCTCAACATATATTATAGCAAAAATATTAAAATACACCATGAAGTTTAAATATCCAACCTGAAGTAAAAGAGGCAGCACTATGACGAGCTTTATCCATGTAAGTAAGCAGCATCCAGGAATCTTTGTTTGTATCATACAAGTCAACATCTTGTACACTTAACGCAGCTGACGATTTTCTATCAATAGCCAATCCTCCACTTAGGTACAAACTATTTCCAATGCTAGTCATTGTGGCATGACAACGACCATATCTTAGGCTACCCTTTGCAGTCCATCTGCAACGAAAAGTCACTGCATGAGACACAGCTATAAATGTAAAAATGATTAACAAGTACCCAAGTTCTACAAATACCTTCTCGTAAAATAAACCATATATAGTACGTGCCTGTTTGTGAATGGGTGGTAACATTCAACACTATCAAAGATTATGTTACTTCCATCCTGACGGTACCCAAAGCCCCCAGCTACGAATATATTTCCATTAAGCTCTGCAGCACAAGCGCCAGCACGTGCTGTCGTCAAAGACTTTAAGAAATGCCAGCTGTTTGTAGATGGGTTGTAACACTCCACTGACTTAAGAATTCTAGAAATAATACATAAAATCAAAAAAGAATCAAAGTACTGAAGGAACAACTATACAATTGGAATTTTATAGCATTTGGTTAATTTGTATGACAATACATGCATATATGCAGGTAAACCGAGTTCAGTTTGTTCCTGTTAGTTTACAAATAATTGTTAAACAATCAAATACAGTAAAAGCTACATTTTACCTGTTGTTTCTCCCAAGACCACCGATAGCGTAAATGCAACCATCAAAAACACATAGTGCATGCTGGTGCCGAGCAGTTCTCAGTGGCGTCAATTTCCGCCAACCACTCTTCGGACAGAAAACCCAAACATCTCTTCGGGGAAGTGGATTGTCGTTATTATAGCGCAACCCTCCTGAAAATAACAACACAAGTTTAAGAAATATACAAAGTTACTTGATTACATGTATATATAATACTATACTATTTTTTAGTGTACGTAGTACATGTATTTAAAAAAAAACTTACCTATCACGTATAACTTCTGGTCTAGCACAATCATGGAGGGGTTTTCATTCAGATCTGGTTTTGATGGATGGTTTAAGGTGTTATGCTCCTTAGCACAATCCCCAGCTATACCAAAAAGAAAAAAGAAAGTCATGTATATTTACACACATATGCACTTGATTCTCCAATATGTAAATTTATATTTACACACATATGCACGAGATTCCCTAATACAGTATGTAACTTTGATTTAATAACTTACAGAACTGAAGGAACCCTTAATTTTTGTCATAAATACAAACCGCTGATCAACTTTTGCGCACTAATTTCTTGTGACGGGGAAAATTGTTCCAAGGATTCTCTACTTCCGATATTGAAACTCTCCGTGTAATTCTCGTAACTTTCAATACTTCCGAATGATATATCCATCAAGTCAACTGGAGTGGCATTATTCTACAATCAAGAACAACCAGCTGTGGAGTGATGTAACTGAGTTTAGCAAAAATAAACGTACCATCAACATCCATCATTACATTGTTTGTTTTGCTTACTTGTAGTCATAGATGAAACAAAGTACTCACATTGATATAGTTAGTGCTGTTGTTTGAATCTTCATGTGCAGTAAGGTACCTTGATTCTGGTATATTCAGGTTTAGGGGATCTTGCCTATTAAGTGCCATCACAGTTCTAATCCTATGAAAAAATGAACATGACATGCTAGATTAGAAATTGAGCACAGTGTAAACTAAAGGTGCACGCACCAATTAAAAGATAAAGACATGAATATTCACCAGTTGGCCTTGTAGATCATGTCTAAACATTTCTCATCGGCTGCAAGAAGACTGCATCTGTCGATGCACCCAACCAGGTCTTGTTGTGACATCAAGGGGAACCGAATGCATTTCATAATGGCTCCCAAGTACTGCGAACGTTCACCTGGACATGCATTAATCCATTCTAAGCCTGCGCAAAAGACGTCCATCTCAGTTGAAGTGACTAACTCATCGTGCGACAGAATGACACGAAGGGTTTCAATGTCCAGCTCCAGGAAAGATCTGCGCTGAGAAATGTCGAGAAATCTCTGCGATATACAACGGAGTATTGGTATAATGAAGTTACTCTCCGGATCCTTCCTCACCGCCACCAACAACGCAACAAGATCATCATGCGGGAGAGTCCCTATCTTCCTGAGACATCTTTCCCTTATTTCTGGAATTTGAAACTGCCTCGAGATTTTAACTAAATCCAAAATAGTTGAAGTTGTGATTTCCAGTTTTCCTGCATAAACAAAGTTCATGAAGGCCTTTAAAGATTGCATGGACAATCCTCGGAGACGAATCTCTGCCATTTGTTTCGATTTCATGTGACTGTTTTCAGTAAAAATGGATTCAAAGTACGGACTCATGGAACACAACGCAGCACGATGGGCATAAAGAACTTCATCATTCACACGGAACCGAACGTCACATACCTTGCAATGGTCGTAACATTCTTTGATATATGAACCAATCTCGGCAAAGTGCATGATTTGGTCCTGTGGTACATTTTGCATTTTTTCTAAATAGCCACGAGTTTTGTTTGGAAGTAAAGACAACGGATTCTTTCCCATCATGAAGTCATTATTCATTAAGAACTGGGAGGACTGGGTGGCAAATGTGTCCGAAACACTTCCAACACTAGCTGGAGATGATTTACGGGTAGAGGTGCTTATGGGTTCGTCGGTTGCCGACTCGTACATTGAATATGTTGACCAAGATTTATCCAACCCTTCAGAAAGAACACCTGACTTGTCTGAAAAAGGACAGCAAATAATAATATTTTATGAGATAGAAATGTCAAAATATACTGGAGTAGTTAAGGGTTTTAAATTAATCCAAAAACAAAACAAAAAATATAAATAAACAAGAAACAAAGCAAACAAAAACGTTATTAACCCTCTTCCCCGCAGTCACGCATTTTAACGCATATACCATTTCCTATTTCTAACGCAAAATCACGCATATACCGTTTCCCCGCAATCACGCATTTTTCACGCACTTCCAAAAGTAAATTTAATCTTCAATTTAATGACAATTCCCTTCTAATTTGTACTTGCTAATATCTCATAAAATAAGAAAAGTTGTAATCTTATTAAAATATTACGTCATAATTATTTACACTAAACTTTCGAGAAACTTGTACCTCGCTATAAAGTGCTTGTGGGGAAAAGGTAACGTCATATTTCTATGACGTGAACATTAAGTGTATGTTGTGTCACAGTTCAGTAAGTTGTAAAGAGTTAATATAACAGTCATATAGCATCATGTACTAGTTTAATTATTGCCTACTTGTGTTTTGGTAAGGGATTTGATAGCTTGCATTCTGAGGTGCCATGTAAAAGTTTTCTTCCTCTTCAGAAGTTGGACTCCTACTGACAAGTCTCGCAGTACAGACAGAACCGGCAACAGATGCCTGGCCTCCACAGTCATTCAATGCAGCCAATCTCTCCTCTGTTAATGTATCGTCCGTTGTGATACTTTGCTGTCCAACTATTGTGTGATCGCTGGAAGAGCATATGGAAGATAAATCATCTCTAGAAGATTCCAATAACGATGGGCTCAGGACACGATCCATGGCGGTGTCTGATGTGTTCGGAAATATCTTCCTCCACATTATAGTTGAATTCGGTTCGTAAATGCAGTTTGTAGACATAGCGTACCGAGCTTTAGGGCTTTTCCTTGTCTCTCTTTTCTGACATCCGTTCATTACTTCAGCAGATGTTGCTCGTGACTCAGAAACTGGGGCTGACTTACGGATATTTGCCACTACATTTTTCACTGAACTAGGGCGGATAAGGGTGCTTTCGGTGTCTTTATCAGGAACAATGGTATTCCGTGGAAATCCATGAAGTTGGTTCCATTCGGAGATAGCAATAGGTAGCGGTTTGTAAAGGCCTGTGGGAGACTCTGAATGAGTGGTGGGCCTTTCCACTGCCTGGAAGTAACTTTGGCCTTCACTTCTAATGGTACCAGATTTGTATCCAAGTTTCAAACAGGAATTCGGAACAGGAGGTGGAGTTGGAATTTTAGGTTGGTCCTCTCTTCTCAATTGCATCTGCGAATCACAAGAAGATGAATGTCGTGGTTGAATACGGGGCCCTTGAGGTTGCACCAAATTTTTCGACCATCTTCCTTTTTCAGTGTGTGGTACAAAACTGTCCGATCCTGTAATTCTCAAAGATTCTAAGGGAAGATTTGGAAAAGGACGGGTGGCATTTGTCCTATTCTTTCGGCTTTCATTTGTCTCCAGCATTGTGCAAAAGACAATATACCATTGGATTCTTACATGAACTTCCAATGGTATTCAGCGCTGTTTGTTTGTAGCTATACAACAAAAGCTGCAATGCTGCGTTTATTGTGACGTAACTACAACGACACGGTATTATGACGTAATAATGGTGTATGTCGTTATCAAAGAGAGAGAGAGAGAGTTCTTTAGTGCATGCATCTCACCCTGCCCATGTTCATTTTTAATAAAAAGTACACACAAACACACGCACACCCTCACGCGCGCTAGACTGCTCTCTATGCTAGACTGCTTTCGATGCCGATGGAATTTCCCAACACTGCAGTGCATCAAGTAAGAAAAAAGCAGATATATACACTGTATATTGTATTAGTTTACTCTTAAATTGTTTCATTTAAATTCCATAAGATTTTTACAAATTTAATTTTTTGCATAATCGTCGATATAGTTAGAGTTCATCTCACCCTTCAACCCCCCCCCCCCCCCCCGTCCACAAAATAAAAAAAAAATACTGGAAAAAGAAATCTCTATACAATGGTTGAATTAATTAACTTGCACTTTTAAACCAATCTTAATTACATTTGCGGTAATATCAGTATATATTCACGAAAAAAAAAAAAAACAAACAAAAAAACAAAAAAAGCTCACTGAAGTTAAATCTCCTTGATCCGCCTTAATTTGATCATATCTATCAGGAAAATATACACATCATAAGTTAATCTTTTGTAACTGTTTTTTATTTAATCACAATCATTCTAGAGTAATCCGTGCACTTACCTTATCCCTTGCAAATTTAATCTAAGATAAATAATTGTTTTCTCCCCCTCCCCTCTCTCTCTGAGCAAATTGTACAGTGTATGTACAGATTTTATTTATCAATTATGGCTCTGAGTGTAACTATATAATGATTACACCAAAAGGAACATATAATTTATTAATAACATATTAATTTTTATAGCTGGATTGCTACAAAAATTTAAGCGAAAGATCTCCTTTTTAATGACTAAATCAATTGACATTAATCACATAAAATCAGTCTTCACACCACACCATTTACGCGCAAAATACAATCCTGTCCTAGATTTCTAAAAATAGAAAAACGGTAGTAAATGGTAAAAAGGCGTATATATATCTACTTTGTCATTTAAGATTACTTTTTAAATTGAAATGCACAAACGCTTGTGTCGCTTTGAGAACTCTGTTTCAATTGAAGTTCATAATTTGCGTATTAATGTTGCAAAAAATGATAAATATAGACGTTTAATAAACTTGTCAATGCTATTTTTAGAAAATAGAATTTTGTAACGATACCTGGGAATTCCCCGTATGTTAGAAAGCGCGCAAAACGATTGGTTGTTTTGTACCTCGTGACTAGGGACTTTCCCAATATGCAATTTTTCATGGAGGTGTAATGGAAAGAACTACGACACGAGCAAATACTTGGAATTTTCGAAAACTATTTGAAACTACACTGTGTGTTTCTGATCCCCATCCTTTTCATGGGGGAGAATGACGATTGTGGATACCAATAATGTCAATAACAACGTCAGTAACATGAGTAAGAGGGTTAAAACAAAACCAAAAGTAAGAGCAAGTGTAGGGTCTGAGATGACGCGGAAAAATGTCGCCGACAAGGAGAGCGCCGACCGCATTGCTGCAGCGGAGGCTATGTCATGTTTGTCTTCAACGCCGTTCATACTGCCATCTTCAGAAACAGTCCCCAAGGCTATGGCGGGCCAGAGTGTAAAACCGGATCCATCAATAAATATTGGAAACAACGAAGAAGGAGTGTACACGTCCACGTCTGTTTCTAAGAGGGGAAAATCCAGAAATCGTGGACGCGGGGGTAAGCGTTCTCCATCAAAACAAACCCATGCAAATTCTTCACTGGAAAGTAATATTGTTGTAAGTCAGAGAAATGCAGTTGCATCAGTTACTGAGCTATCCAAACCTAAAACAGTACCTCCAAGTACAGTTGTCAAGTTAAAAACAAGTACTACATCAATATCACAGGCATCATTAATAGCACAACAGTTAAGCAATATTGTTAAGCTGCAAAAAGAAAAGCAAGAGAATGCTATGCCATCACATTCCAATATTAAGTTTTCCCTTCAGCAAATGTTGGAGTTAAAAAAGGCCCAAGGCCAAGAACAGTCACAAACATCAAATAATGCAGTTCTAAAACTCCCTTTAACTGTGTCCACAAGTGATTCAAACCAGGCACGAGAACCAAGTAGTCCTAGTTCTATCATTAGCAATGAAAGCATAGAATTGCCCCAAACAACTGTTGATCACATTTTGAACCAAAATAAATATGACACACCTGAGGCTTCGTTACCGCTGAAGAAGAGGAGGCTACAGACTTACAAAGATGGGGAGGTACCTCAAAAAGACAGTACATCCCCCTCGCAGGCAGTGGTGGATCTGACCACAGATAAAGAGGACAAATCTAAAGAACAACAGGGTAATCACTTTGTATACATATGTATTTTGTGCAGTTATATTTAGTTTTTGTTTTCTTTATCATAATGCAAAAATTGAAGTTGATTTTCAGTGAATTCTGTATAAATCTCAAGTGCCTGAAAGATCCTCCGTAATGCTGAACACTTAAAAATAATCAAACCATTTCTATATCAAAATACATATGATCATTAATCATTTTGGAGATATATCAACAAAACTATTTTTTATTTATTTACAAACCATCATTCAATATGTGTTGAACTTTCCCTTAGCTTATTGCTACTCCATTGATCGTGCAAATCAATAACAACTGTGAGATTGAAATAGGTATAGCTTGTAAGCTTTATATGGCAAGAGTCCAAAAATAGCAAATGTTAGGGTCAATATTTTATAGTGAAGGATAGGAATATACCAACTTTGCCTGAAGTTTAATCTTAAAGTCAAGATTCAGACAAGCATATGTACAGCATTACCTTTTGATATTCTGAACTATATTTATTATAAAAATCCTTGTTTGTAATTCTTACTGTTAGAATTTCTTACGTACATGTAAGGGGTAATTATACAGTTAACCCGTGAGTCAGTTTATTAAAGCCCAACAGCACACTTTTAGCTTAAGCTTCAATAAATTTTCTGAATTTTGATTTGAAAGTGGGATGAATGATCAAAGGGATTTTTAAAACTCTTAGTAATCTCTCTCTCTCTCTCTTCAGATAGAAATAAAATATTTCATTACTGAATAGACTTGGAGTAATATCAGATGTAATCTGCAAATTCACAACTGGATACTGGTTTTCCCCCCAAAAGTTTATAGTTGATTTATAACAGTTACTTTTAATGAGTGATGGTAAAACACCAAAATTTATTCTTCATTGTTTATGCACAACTCTGACTAATTTTGTCCTATTTTAGTACATGCATGTATATTGCTTTCCTTTTCTATAGGCACTGCAAGGGTGTTGTCATCTGGGGTGTATGTGAATCCACAGACGAGTCTGATGCTTCTGTCTGAAATACAGATGGCGCTTCATCAGGATGAAGATGGTGACTTGTAAGGAACTTGTTTCAGACTTTTTTTTTTCATGGCACTTTTGCCAAGTATGCTTTTAACATACATTGAACTTTTCTATCTCAAACACTGACATCTCGAATACCATGGAGATGCTGAAGTGATTTGGAAGTCCCAACTTCTTATTCTTTAAAGTATTTTACCCTGGATATCTTGAATCCTTGGATATCTCAAATCCTTTGATATTTAAAAGGGTTTTTTTTCGTTTCCACTGAGTTCAAGATAATGGGGTTTGGCTGTATTATCACTGTCTTTACTTAAGTAATATAAATACCAGTATATTTGATACTTGATAATGAGAGTCAGAGTCTGAATGTAAAACACCAATCCTATGTGCTCCAGGGATGTAACATGGTCTCTTTAAAGTTAGCCCTAACAAATGTCTGATGAGCTTGTGAAATATACTGCTTATTTGATATTGCAGTAGAAACCAAGCTGAAATTGAGCTTGTGAAATATCATGATAGTGTTATTTTACAAGGTCCAGAACAATTAATTAATAATAAATAAAGGACTTGTAAATCCAGCCCAAAATGGCTAGAGGTAAAAAAAAAAAATGGCATAGACTGCACTCATAGTAGGTATTTATAAAACATTACAAATAACATTTAAATGACCTTGGTAATGAATGGTGTTTAAAAAAAAGGCATTTAACATGTTCAACTTGGTCCATTATGTACATACTAAAGTAGCCAGGTCACTTAATTCTTAGTCAGCTGATAATATTTATCAGTGGACTAGTACACAGAGTATTTGAGAGCACCTTAATTTATGGGGCTACCATGTGATAAAGACTGAAACACGACTAAAACGTGATACATACAGGTACAGAAATTCTATTTTTAACCAGGAATTAAATATACCTCTTGCCAAACCATCCGTATAGAAATGAATTGTAGAACGGCAGTTCATTCTGAAAACAATTTTTTAAAATCATTTGGGAAAACCAGATTTGCAACACAAATTATTTTTGAACATTTTATCTCCTGATTTGGGACATTTAAACCAGTTAGCACAATGTATGCATGCCTTTATATTCATGGGTATTAAATGACTCCTCTTGTGCAAAAACACATACAATATAAATGTAATGTAAGTTCTTTTTGTGAACTGACTAAGAATTTGAACGATACATAAATGCAGAAATCATGACCTTTCAAAATTGTCCTGATGGGTCAAAGAGGCAGTGCTTGTCTGTAAGAAGTTGCAAACTGAGCAAAAAAAACAAAACTTTCTTCTATGCACAGTGTAAGTTCATCTGTATAAATACAAATTCCATTTGTTTTAGTGCAAGTATTTTGTCTTGTAGGCCTTTACATATTGCTGTGGCTCAGGAAAACAGTGTAATGGTCCAAAAATTTGTTCATTTAATGACCATATCTGGCAAAAGTGTGGACAAGTATAACAAGTCACAGCAGGTAATAAGTAAATTAATTAGTATTATTGTTCATGAAATATTAATGGTCATTCATGGATTACCATCTTTTTTTTTTTGAAAAAAAGTATTGATATATAATATTTACCTGGTATTTTTAAAGTTTTATATTAAAAAGCTTGCATAATAATTCATGTTTTAAATTTCATGTCTCTTTGCATATGTATTCAACGTTTTTTTTTTTTTTATCTAAATAACCATTGATTTATTTCACTGTAACTGAACATAAGACAGCTTTATGCAAAATGGAACCCTGATACACCTGACTCTTTCTGAGAAATAAATTAAAAAAAATTGGGCCAATGTTTGAAGCCGCTAGTATATCATTGATTCATTATGTAAATTCATGTATTACTGCACTGGACTAGTGATAAAAATGTAATCAATAAAAAATAAAGCTTACAAGGGAAATTTCCATATTGCTCTTCTCTTTTTTTTTTTTTAAATGTACTTGATCAAGGTTCATCATTTTTTTGTTCACTCATAAAATTTGCTTTAACACTTCATAAGCTTTTCCAAGTCGCCCGCGTTGCACAGTGGTTGGAGGGTACGCTCTAGAGTCGTGGAGTAAGGAGTTGATCCTTACGTCGGGGGTTTGAATCCCACTGTGGAATGTGGAGACTGGTCCTTCGGATGAGACCGTATAAACCAAGGTCCCATGTTGCAGTAGGTGCTGGCACGAAAAAGATCCCTCACTGCTCAATCGCCCTGAGTGCCGATTATAGGTCAAAATTTGCAGCTCTCCACCGGGAAGTGGTGGCGTCTCCATATGAGTGAAAAATTATCGAGAGGGACATTAAACAATAATAAACAAACAAAATAAGCTTTTCCAAAAGAAATCTGCATTTTATGATTAAAATGCATACAATTTCAGCATACCCTGTGGGGCAAAATTGGACAAAAATGACCACTGAACTTGACAATTTTATAAAGGAATAATATTGATATATTTTAGCAAGAGTTAATTATGTTAATTATCTCTCTTATCAGATGGCCAATGAACCTTTAATAAAGGTTCTGATCAGGTGGTCTTGTATCTCTCTTGACTGATCCAATATGTTAACTCCTAGAGATTCTCTTTTTAGACGCCCCTTCACATTGCGATTGAGTTACAGTTTGATCAGGCTGTGTCTGTTCTCCTGATGGCTGGAGCCAATCCGTCTTTGGTTAATAAACAGGGTGACAGCTCCATACACCTAGCCATCAAACACAACACCATCAATAGTCTGGCACTGATGCTCATCAAGAGTCAACACAAGACAGATATAAATGCCAGGAACTTTGAAGGTATGGGTGCTGAATATTTTTTTTATGTAACTCACATACGAAAATTATTGTCCAATTCAGGTTTTTCAAAGAGGGGGCATAATGAGTGTTGAGGTAAAATTTATGCCCAGTACCAGTTTTTTTTTCCAAATAAGGAACTAAATTGTACATTCTTATCATTGTATGAGAACAAAAATCATAACCCTGAAGAACAAATATTTAAATATACTGTATGTATTTATAATAGAAATTTTATCTTGTTGAAACTTGGCCTTAACTGAAACTAATACTAATGCTGCAGTAATGCATATGTTCAAATATTGTGGTTTGGGATGTATAATTAGATATATTGATCACTGATTTGTACTTGACAATAAAAGTTTGTTTTTATACAAAAGAAATATAACTAAGTATCAAACTGTTCACTGGATATTATTGCAATATATATATTGTCTGCACTTATAATTAGGTGAGAAAGACGTGGGGGGAGTAAGAACCTCTTAAATTCCTTGTCTGTGATGTACTGTACTTATTTCCACTAAAGATAATTTTGTCTTCTGTGATGTTGAAAGACCAATATAGCAACAATGGAGGAAATTATTGAATCCTTATGAAATCATCAGCATGAACTCAATTTGATACAAGTTACCTGGTAGTTCATACCATGGTCATTAGCCATGGGAGAACCACCACGGGGGTCTATAGTTTTATAATGTAAGATAAGGAATTCGACAAAAGAGAATCTGCAGATTCTCTTTTTTTCAAATTCCTTATCTTACATTATAAAACTATAGACCCCCATGGTGGTTCTCCCATGGCTCATGTAGACTTCAGTTCGCTAATACCTGTGGTAAATACAATATGTTAAATTCAGTTTATTGACATCACCATGTTGGCATACAGTTGAGATAACAAGTCAAATGATAAACAAAAGAAAACTGAATTTTAACAAAATGGCTTCAGCATGCAAAACATTTTCACTCTTTTCTTCAAAGTCCATGAATTTCTTTTCTCTGCATGCACAAAACATCTACTATGAAATCACTTATTTTCGTGTGGGTTTAATTTTTGTGGTTTTTGAGGTATGAAGAGACCCATGAATTCATGTCCACCATGAAATGTAAAATTTCGTATGCATAACTATTCAACACTTCCCAACCTCGAAATCAATGATGTTGAACTGTCTAACTCTTCTTTGGCGTTAAGGGTCTTCTTGACAATAACTTCTCCTTGGATTGATTATCCCCTCATTTAGACATTTGGGTTTGATAGAAATCATTATAGACAATAAATAAATACATTCCATGTACAGTAAAACTCAGTTATAGCAAAGTCATGGGGACCTGTGAATTTACTTCGTTATATCCGTAATTCGTTATATCTGTATAATAAATTCGTTAGAGTATATACAGTTGAACTTCAGTATCTCGAACAATGATATCTTGAATACCATGGATATGTCAAAGTCATTTTGAAGTCCAACTGCTTATTCCTTACGTATTTTACCCTGGATATCTCGAATCATCGGATATCTCGAAGTTTGAGATAACAAGGTTTAACTGTATAACGAATTCACAATATGCATCTTTTTGTTCAAGTATGACTACCAAATATGTTCTAGGAGGTATTAAATTCAAAATTTTACTTGGGGTGCTAAATATTTCTGAGGAATAGAATTTCAAATCAAAATACTTATAAAAATTATGTGAGTTTAATATTTTGAAGAGCAAGATATTGAAAATTATTTATAAAAGATGTAATTTTCATTATTTTAAACCTCTACTGGACAGAAAACCAGTTCACTATATCCGTAAATTCATTATATCAGAGTTTGTTATAATCTTAATATTTTCCAAGAATTTGTTAAGAATTTCACCGGGGATTCAAAAAAACTTTGCTATATCCTTGAATTTGCTATATCTGTGTTTGTACTAAACGAGTTTTACTGTAAAGGGAACTGTTCAATTTTTCAATCGTATTCTTGGAACCAAGCTAGTAGATGAACAAAGAAAGAGATATAAAGGGTCAAGGTCAAAGATGTGCGGTAGAATTTTTTTTTAGGACAAAGCACTATATAATGATTTTTTTTCTGCTTATCACAATTTTTGCAAAAATATGCTAAAACACTATTTTTATTTCCTTTAGTCCCTTTTTTGGATTAATAATAGGAGTCCCTTTTTTGATAAATAATAGGGTTATTTATAATCTATATGGTATAAAGTCAGTGACAATTTAACACAAGTTAATTTTATGCAATCTAAAAAAAAAAATAAAGTGAAAATTGAATCATAGCGAAAATTACCTGTTTATGTATGGTATGAAGAGTAAAATTTGAGTTCAGTGTTACAGTCAGTACTTATTACATAACTTGTACTCACTACTCAGGGAGATATTAGAAAAAAAAAGTGATTTAGTGTCTAGGATACCTTTAAGGTTTGTCTGACATATACTGTAAACGGGTAAATTTACTCTTGGGTTTAAATTTTGCTATTGCCTAAATATGCATCAAATCGTGGCATTAAGGGGTAAAGAGTTAAATTGCCCCCCGTGTACCAGTATTTTTAAACATAGTTTACTCAGTTTTATTAACAATACATAACCCCAGTACCTCAAAGATTACCTCACATGTAATGTTCTTCCTTCTAATTCCCATAATTAACAACAAGTGCAAATATCCACATTAATTCCACAGTACTCTTTTCATTGACACTTATCTTATAAAGAGGGAAAAAAAAAAATATATAAAACAAGCATTCTGAGAGTATTGCATAAGCAATACATGTCCCCTACCGGTATCCCCCTTTTTTTTTAATAGGATGTCATTAACATATTTTATAAGACCCTGTATATGATAACTGCCCCCCCCCCCCCATGTGGACATTTCGGATTACTTGTTTATGAATAAAATGTCTTGGAATGAAGTCTGCCTTACAAAGACGTGTTTGACTAAGAATAACACAACAACTGCTTACATATGGAAAACATTCCTCGTTGTTCTTAACTCAAACACATACCAAAAAAAAAAAATTCAAATTGGGAAAAATATTCACTCTTTCGTTATTCATTATTTCACCAAGCATATTGAGTATTTGCTAGTAGAAATTGCTGAAAACAATGCACAAATGTCAATATTACTTAAACGTTTTCTGACTTCTTAACATGAGAACCTCAATTTGGAACATTAATATAGTGCAGCACGAACCCGATTTTGAACCCGAATATAAAAAAGAGGAATATTTAAAACTGATTTACTCCAGCACCTGTTGGTCAAATGTGACAAAATTCAAACTTGATCTGTAGTTTATCACTATAAAGGTACCCGCAAGTTTCAAATCAATTCTCAAAAGCATAAAGAAAAAAGTGCGGAAAACCATGTGGGACAGACTGACAGACAGACAGAGGGACAGACAGCTGGACAGCTAGACAGACAGATGGATGGACATACTCAGAGGAAACCTATAGTCCCCTCCAGTTTCACCGGTAGGGAACTAACAATAAAATTGTACATGCCAGCGACATTGATGTTATTTAATGTGATTGTTGCACTGTCTGAAAACTTGAAATCTAGTAGTGAGAATATATTTCTAATCACAAAAATGAAATATCTAGGGTGATTGTAAAATTGTTGCTCATGATGAAAAAAAAAACCAAGTTTCAGTTTTCATAACCTAAGGCAAAAATCAAGTGTGGAAAATTCCTTTTGTTTTTAGAGTTTTACAGAATGTTTACAACTAAATGTTATCTAGATGAGTATAGGTACCATGGTTTTATTCGAAAGCTTCTTATAAAATGTGTTTTAATTAAGGCTTGTGGAGTGTCTTTTGACAAATTAAAGTGTTGAGGACCTTGAATTGGAAGAAAATCAGTAATTTAGGAGCACACTATGGAACCCGTATTTTCCTATACAAATAAACATGCTGTTCTACAAGATTTTTGCATTACTACAATAGAACAAAACCATTCCCACTAATATTTTCAGCTTTCAACCCTGAAAAGTAGACCTTTTTTATTGGAAAATGCTTTAATTAACTTGAAAAAAAAAATTAAAATCTCAAAGGTTTCTGAAATTTAGTTGATATCTAAAAAGGTTAATTAGAAATTTTATTATAATTCTATTATTTGGTCTTTTAAACCATTTGAGAAATAACCGTCTTGTTTATATATAGGGTTTCTATGGGGTAAAATAGACATTTTTCTGATTTTTTTTCAACAATGCTACTCCTCCTCTAGTTTTTGCCTGACTTCAATCAAATTCTCTACACAAGTAAACTATACTAAGATGCATAATTAGGGCACTGCAAGGATTTGCGGGTGCCCTATAGTAATCACTCTGTCTGTCTGTCCGTCTTTCTGTTTTTCTTCCGTCCACAAATTTTCTGGTTTTTTTTCTAATAACTTTTTTTAGGGTTGACCAATTAAGTTCAAATTCGGTATGTTGGTTGAATAAGCAGTAATACATGTTTTGATGCTAAGTTTGGTTCTCTGTGTCATCCGGTTTGGAGCTGGGGTGGTGGGGTAGATTCCATAACTTTATATAAGAGTGAATGGGCAAAGAGAGATAACTGCTGAGAATATTCCTATTGTAAACTAAGAAAGGCTGCAGTGAGTCTCTTGGGATTAATTAACTTTCCTCTTGAAGAAAATCCAAAGCATTTATCTTTATCTGTCACATTGAAATTAATTAAGACCTCTGTCTCTGCAAATGAAGTTTGTTTTGAAGTTAAGGTCAATTCTGAATGATGTTTACATTCTCTGAGATATGGATTTAAATAATGTTCATACTTTATTTTGGTAAAATACACAATGAGTTATGATTTTATTGAATTCTAAAAACAAGATATAGATAAAGATACCTTTTTTATTTTTATTTTCTTTTCTTTTTCTTCTTTCTTTTTTTCTGCCTTATGTAAATTCAAGAGTACTATTTATTTTAACAGGTATTCAGATAATAACCTCATTCTATCATTGCTGAAAAAGTTCTTATTGTAAACTTAGAAGAAAAGGTTGAGAGAGCAGTATAGTTAATCCCCTGGGATTTATTATCTTGCTGGTTGCAGAAAAATTTAGAGGGGTTATCTTTCTGTCACTTTAAGATTAATTAACACCTTTGTCTGCAACTGATGTTTGTTTTGAAGTTAAGTTCAAGCCTGAGTGATTTTTGCATTCACTGAATGCTGGCATTTTAGAAAACACATGCTTCATTCTTCTTAAATATACATTTAATTGAGTTATTATAGATATGATGTTTTTAATGCCTTATGTAAATACAAGGATACTATTAACAGGTTGTTGGATATTTAGCAGTTGCTGTTGCTTATTCTTCATTATATATATTTTTAAATTTATGTTATCAAGTAAAATTCTCATCCCCTAATCTGCACCCTTATATTTCTACCCCTCGGCAGGGCCCTTGCTGACTGGTCAGATTTCTAGTTCTATTTATTGGGTTTTGATTTCGATTTTCGATGAATGGTGTTGCCATTGTTACTTAAAATAGAAATTTTTGTGAAATTCATACAAAACGCTACTCCTATACTGTTGGTCTGATTTCAGTTAAACTCTACAAAAGTAGTTCACACTAAGATGCCTAATTCTGTGTATCTTTTTTTTTTGATGATGAACAGTGTTGCCATGGTTACTATAAATAAAAATATTTGTTAATTTTTTTTCAAATACTACTCTTCCTACAGTTTTAGCTTGATTTCAATAGAATACACTAACATACATATTAATAATATGTATGTTTTGTTTTTTTTTAAAATTTTGTTGAATGATGTTGCCATGGTTTTTAAAATATAGATTTTATTGTTATTTTCCTTTGAAAATGTTACTCCTCCTACAGTTTTGGTCTGAATTCTGTAAAACTTCAACACAAGTAGAATACTTTAATATACATAATTCTCTGTATCTGTTTTTTTATTTTGACGAACATTGCTGCTGTGGTTACTAAAAATAGAAATTTCTTTGAAATTCTTTCAAATTAGTACTCTTTCAACAAGTTTGGTCTGATTTCATTTAAACTTTTTACCCAATTAGACTACACTGAGATACATATTTTTTATTTTAAGGAATGGTTTTGCCATGATTACTATAAATAGAAATTTTTGTGAAATTCTCTCAAAAGGCTACCTCTCCTACAGTTCTAGTCAGATTGGAATAAAACTTGCCACACAAAGATTTTAAACCAAGTATTATCGATTATTCTATGTATTGCTCCTATCATAGTTTCAAGTCAAAGTGTTACCTTTCTCAGTACAAACCAGTAGAGCTATAGTCTCATCAGAGACTTTTGGTTTTTTTGTAAGGTTAACATAAGCTCACTAATAAATTTGAATGTCAAATTACAAATTTTGCTGAATATTTGGCTGTTTCTTTTTAAGATTTTTTTTAAATGTTTGAACATGTGCAGAAAAAATTCAATCGTTTTTTCTGTGTATCCAAGAAATGACTTAATAAACACTATTCTTCAACTTAACCAGCAAAATATAGTAGACACTCATTTTTTATTATGTGGAAATGAATCTTTGTCTACCGATTCAAATATTCAAATTTTCTTTAGTGTCCAGATATTTATTTGAGAATCAGATAGATTCTAATTTAAACTGGTGTCTTTGATTTCAATATGTATATGTAGAATGAAAATTTTAAATTTTTTCGCAAACATGAATGCTTCTTGTTCAATAAACATTGTAATCAGTGTATATGTAACATTAGAGCTCTAGCTGGTAGATTACTCAGAGTATGTGTCTTTATAATTTTCAAATATTTTACATGTATAACATAATTTTTTGTAAATTATCTCAATTTATTTGTTATGACAATCATTTTGTATTCATTGATTGTATAACAAGGAGAGGATTTATTAAGTTGAAAGAACTTGTTTCCAATCCTTTTGTATGTATTATACAATAAAATATGTTCAAATCAAATCAAAAAATTCAAATGAATGTCATTATTAAGGACATTATTTTCTCGATCTCTCTGTTTTAGTAAACAGTATTTATATTACTAAGAAATTTGATGTTAAAAATCTTAGGAATACATGTAATTGGAATATCAGAATAACAAAACAAATTTTATATAATTGATGATATCATGACTATGGTATTGTTTTATTGCCTAGAACACGTGTGTAGAACCTATACCTATCACATATCTGTCAGTGGTACGTTAAATTGGTGACTACACTTCTCATGTTTACCTCTACAGGTTTGGCACCCCTTCATTTGGCTGTCATAAGGAATCAGATAGAAATGGTGAAAGTCCTTATAAGGTGTGGTGCTGATATAAACATACAGGTAGGTGGATAGCAAAGAAAATTGTATTTACTTGGAAAGGAGTGGAAGGTTCCACACATTTTATATGCAAAATACACTTGTAATGTAAATATACATAAATAACTTGCATGTTGACATAAATAAGTTGCATGTTCACATAAATATGTCACATGTTTACATAATTATCTCACAAGTTGACAGAAGTAAGTTGCATGTCGACATAGGTCTGTTGCATGTCTACATAATTATATTGCATGTCAACATATATAAATCACATATTGACGTAATTATGTTGCATTTTGTATCTATGATTATGGTGGCATATTTCTGCCCCCTTTATGCAAGATAAATTGTTAACATACAACATAGTTATATAGACATGCAACTTATTTATGTCAACATGCAAAATAATTATGATTACATGCAAGTTACCAATTTCTTTAGAGAATTTAATTTTCATATTGGTAAACTTACTTACGCCATTATAAGACATCATACAAGCAAGATACAACGGGATTTTTTTGACATGCGACTTATTTATGTTAACATGCTAGATAATTATGTAGACATGCGACTTGTCTATGTCAAAATGCAAGATAATTAGGTAGACATGCAACTTCTTTAGGTCAACATGCAAGATAATTATGTAGACATACAACTTAATTATGTCAATATGCATGATAATTATGTTAACATGCTAGTTAATTATGTTGTAATTTCAAATTCATATGATATTTGCAAATTGTATGACAGCAAAAGAGAACTTATGGTGGCATATTTCTGCTCCCTAAATGCAAGATAAATTATGTTAACATGCAAGAAAAGTATGTTAACATGCAAAATAATTATGTTTTACCAATCTTTTTTGAGAATCTAATTTTAATGGTGGTAAAATTACTTTCTAACGCCAGTATATGACATCATACAATCTAACTACAACAGAATTATGTTGACACACGACTTATTTATGTTAACATGCAAGATAATTATGTTAACAAGCAAGATATTTATGTCAACATGCGACTTATTTATGTTAACATGCAACATAATTATGTAAACATGCGACTTATTTATGTCAACTTGCAAGATAATTACGTTAACATTCAACTTATTTATGTTAACATGCAACTTATTTATGTCAAGATGCAACTTATTTATGTTAACATGCATGTTAAATTTTAACATGCAAGGTATTTATGTCAACATGCAAGATAATAAGTTGCATCCTAACATACATATCTCGCATATTGACATAATTAACTCGCATGTTAACATAATTATCATGCATATTGACATAAATAAATTGCATGTCTACATAATTATTTTGCATTTTGACATAAATAAGTCGCATGTATACATAATTATCTAGCATGTTAACATAAATAAGTTGCATGTCAACAAAATCCTGTTGTATTTTGCTTGTATGATGTCATATAATGGCATTGATAAGTAAGTTTACCAATATTAAATTAAATTCTTTAAAGAAATTGGTAACTTGCATGTAAACATAATTATTTTGCATGTTGACATAAATAAGTTGCATGTCTACATAATTATGTTGCATGTTAACAATTTATCTTGCATATAGGGGGCAGAAATATGCTGCCATAAGAACTAGCTAATTTTGTCCAAAAAGAAGTACATTTTGTACTCTGAATAGAAATGAAACTAAACAAGCAGGTAATATTGGTAAGACATCAGCCAGACACAGAGTATAACTATGTATCTCATGGTAAAGTCATCTTGAGGGATGTGCTGATAAGTGCCAGAAATCTGAGTATGAAAGCAATCCTTTTTCTAGGTATTAGAAAATAAAGTAAAAAATTTAGTATACAATGTAACCCTTTCTTTAGGATGGTAAAAGTGGGAGGACTCCATTGTTCCATGCTGTGGAGGGGAATCAGCTAGCATTAGTGATGTTGTTCAGACAATGCAATGCCAACCTAGAACTGACTAACTATGCAGGTATCACTGCTTTAATGGCTGCCCAGGCCAAAGGTTTCTCCGAAGCTAGCTCTATTCTAATGGTGGGACTTGATCCTAAGGCCATAATAGAGCACAAAGAGAAAGAGAAGTTGTTGATGCCAAATAAAAAGGTAAGAACAAACACACATTAAGTGAATTGTTTGTGTTTGCAAACTTCTAAGTGTAATTTCATATTCATGTGGAAAAGAAAAGTTTTGTAAGTGATTTTATAAAGATCTCCGTAAACATATAACATATGAGTTTGTATTTTACTTAGTGCCTTTGGCAGAGAGCAGCTTCTGCTAAATTAAGTAGATCGCTAAATGGCATGCACATACATGTATATAACATGAATACATGATGTGTATACATTCATAAATAAACTAAATCAAAGTTGAAAAATCAATTTCTGCAAAATAGGGTACATGCTGAAGTAACATATATTTACAGTATTTTTTACAGTTAAATAAGTCATAATATTTTTCTTCTTTTTTGGAGGGCGTTGAGGAGGAACTACACTAATACTAAGATGTGTTCTTGTTTTTGCAGATGCCAATACCTAGGATACCAAGTAAAGCTCATCTCATTGTGAGTGGTATTCAGAGGGGTGTTAAAAAAGAAAACAATGATGGTGAAAATGAAACCAGTTTATCGAATACTGGTGAAGAGACTCAGAAAGATGCTAAACCTAAGTTAGAAGAGAAAGGAGATAATCAGCAATTGTCTGAATATAGTGAAAGAGAACAGAGAATGATAATAGAAATGAAGAATGATACGCCATCTGTAAAGGCAGTTCCAATGGAAATTGATAAGACAGAAGTTGTGGAGGATGGAATAAAACATATTCCTCCTCAGTTAACTATGAACATTCCCATTAAAAAGGAAAAACCAAAGCGTAACAAACAGAAGAAGATGCTTTCAAAAAGTGAAAATAACCTGGGCAGTGATCAGCAGACGTCCTCCATTGTAGTGCATCTGCCAGACTCGCAGAAAGGGACTGTAGATTCTGTGGCAGATACTAAAGTGATGGTGTCGACTACTGACCCAGTTAGTAATGCTGTCAGATCTATACCTGTTAGTAATGGTCCAAACAAATCTGCAGTTACAACGGAGAATGTGACCAGCATCAATGCTAGGACAGCCTCTTTATTGGCAGCACACCTAAAAAGTGTGAAAAATTCACTAACTAAACAAAGTTCCTCATACCCACTTAACCTGTCCTCCAATGGGAAGGAAGCTGGAAATTTGGAAAAATCAGATAGCATTGTGTCCAGTGGATCATAGCACTTTGTTTAATATTTACTTAATAATTTTACATTAATTATGTGTTATTTTTATGGGATTTTGCAGAATTGTGCATTATCAGCTTTCTGTGCTGGTTTATTACTTCCATGCTGAGAGCTCTGAATTACTTCCCTTTTTTAAAATAGTTACAAATCACCCTGATTTATGAAATTTTTGGAATCAAATCAAGAAATATAAAATAAATGTTAACTGTAAGTGTTATTATATATATACATGTACTTCAGTTATATATTTTTCAATTATAATTGAAACATCAACTTAAAGCACATTCACAATCAATATCTTTGTATGCTTGGGTTTTTTTTTATGTAAACCCCCTCAAGAAATGTCTGCAGAAAAAGCAATTAGATATGCATTTTGGAACTGATAGACACTATTTACAGTATTCACTATAATAGAAAATAATTCTAAAGCAGAAACTGACTATCTTTTTAAAATGCTGTGGAAGAGTTTATTAGGTATTAGTTAACAAAAAACAAAACTGAATAATTATTTCATAATTGACACATTTTATTTTCAAATTCTGAAAATGTCTTCATTTTATGCTGTGAAATATCTTCCATGATTGATGATTTCATTACAGAATCCTGAAGACTGATATGTATACTAGTATTTTTCTATTGCTTTTAATGATAGATTATGTATATAGGTTGTAGCTTCTAATGGGCATTACTGGTCAAAATAAACCTCACAGGCTTCAGATTTTATGTGTATTTCTTCCTTTCTATAGACATGCATTTAGCTAGAATAACATGGTGTATAAAATATAGATTATCATTTCAAAAACAAGATTTGGCTTTTATAATACTGCCAGTGTTTGTATGAAAATTGCATTGTAAAATGTTTTGTATAGTCAGTGGTTTTTTTCATGTGTACAAATGTTACATGTTCAATCAGTCTCACTATTAAATTATGTTGCATTCTACTTCAGACAAGTCTTTTAAATACTTAATTGTATAATGCCATGCGTTGTTCTAGTAGTGTTTGTTGTCAAATCTTATTGACCAATGACCAGACTTCATTCTATAGATTCATCTTGCACTCTTGGTGTATGGTTGTGTTATTAATTTGTAACATTTAAAAACTGTCTTCCTTGAAAAGTAAGGACTGGTCTAAAGTTATTGATATGTTAAAAGAAACTTTAAAAAAAAAACATTTAATTTCTTGTAGATTAAATAATAGAATTGTAATTAATCAAACCAGTCATGAAAAATGTCCAATTGCGTCACCTTACCTGCCTTTTAGAAATACATGTACGAGGGTTGTTCGAAAAGTTCGCGAACTTCTGTCATTTTTAACTATAAACGTCATATTATATAGTTTGGTAGACATGTTTAAAGAATAAATTTCAATGGTTTGAATTTAATATTTCTAATATATCGTGATATATAATATATCTTGAAATATTTCAAAATTTAAAACCACGGAAATGGGATCACGGCGCAGCTCAGAATTTAGTAGTTAACTCAGAATTTATTAGTTTACAAAAAATGCACTTGATGATGTCTGTAGTCATTTCTCTATAAAGTGCTGAAAAAAAATCTAGACTTTCATATTAAGAATTGTTACATAATTTCATACATATGTCGTCTACATATATGACGAAATAATTTGCTTCGGGGACAAGAAATCCATCTCAGGAAAGGTGAGGCAAAAAAGATGACGCCGTAGAACGTCAAGGATCAGCGACTAGCAATACAATTTTATGTTGCACTCAAAAAAACTCCAGAATAAACTCTGGAAATGCTGGAGGAAGTAATAAATATATTGAAAGTGAGCTGGGTGCTTCGCTGTTGCGGATTTGTTAAAGTAGATCCTAGGGTTACGCTGTAAAAATTAAGAAAAACTCTTACTGAAATAATTGTTAGAAAACTGAATGCCAGATATAGGTGGGTATGCGGCCAGATTGTGTGAAATGCATAGGGAAAGTATTTTTTGAGAAACTCATTACATTATGTTATTGATGTTACAATGCTGTTAAGTTTGCTCCGTGATAACAAAACATATGAAATTTAAAGTTAAGTAACACGAGTTTCATTTAATCATATTGAATGAAACTTCACACATCAAAATAAATGTTTTTACGTGTAATAACGTGATGATTTTGAATTTCTTGAATATAATATAGCAAAAATTGACACGAACTTTTCCAACAACTCTCGTATGTATGAATGAAAAATGAAGACTCACATTTCATACTAGTAATTTTTGCTTTTACTCACGATTGTGGTCTTCACATTAAACATGATTTGCCCTTTCCTTTAGGAACTAAGACTCGTACAGTCAAAAGAAATTGAACAGTTAAACTGAGTTTGATTTTGCACTTCGAAAAAAGCAATTATATCGGATTTTATAGTTTTCAAATGGAGTATATTGAAAAAGTAGTCCTTATATTAAAGAAAACGAATTATAAATGTAATCAATAAATTCATTATGTCTAAAGGGCAAGGATGTTCACTATCAATGTTCAAAGAAATACGACCAAGAATAAAGAAATAAAATGCACAAAATAAAAAAAAGAACTTTCACAAATCAAAAAAAAAAAAAAAAAAAAAAAAAAAAAAAATTGCAGGAAAAATGTTCTTTCTAATTTTGTTGAACCACTATAATTTTTTTCTAAGAAGAAAAATAAATTACATGACAAGTATTTTCCATATGGATATATGGACATGTGCACAAACCAAAACTTGCATACTGTACTCTACATTTAAAAAAAAAAAACAGACGTCATTTATTGGATTTTGTTATTTTCAATTGTCAAAAGAGACAAGATCAGCAAACTCTAAAAAGTCGGGAGCTTTGTCATCATTTACACACAGTTTCACCATACTTTTTTTTCCATACGGGAGCTCTTTTATTATTTACACACAGTTTCACCATACTTTTTTTGATACGTTGCCCTTTCTTCCTAAACTTTGAAAACCGCTGCAATTGCCCTGGTACGTTGAACACGTAATGATTTGGTCATATATGCTGCCTCGCTCTAAGGATCGAGATACGCGAGGGTTACATCTCTAGGGGGATAATGCGGAGGCAATAGCGCAAAGGCGAGCTGGCGACAATCCGATGGCAAAACATTAGGGCGAGGGAGCGACAATGCGAGGGCGCGATTCTAAGGGAATGACAATGCAAGGGTAATGCTTATTTTGCTCTCGCCAAGGCAACTAGCTTTCTCCCTACCTTATAGCATAGTTACTATATAACGTCCCTGCCCTTTCGCCCTGAAGGTGGGATAAGAGGGGGCGACAGGTCCTTCCAGTCTTCCACGTGTTATGTCAGCTTCTGTTGTTCAGTATTTGCCAGCATTTGTATCTTTGAGTCCTTGACAGTCCAATATCTGATGGGGAGGTCATCTTGTACAAAAACAGATGTTAGCGTATATGTTTTCATTTTCCAAATAATAAACCAAATTATGTGTACTTGTTCATAGTCATTCAAGATTAGATTGAGGAAATAGTTTAATTCTATTTCTATTTTATTCATTCCTTCACAACTCCAATAAACTTATATAATTTTTGCTTAAAGGAAATTGTTATTAGTGGAAATATGATGGAAGGGAAGAAAGTTGTGTTCATTCACAGAAAAAGGAATAAAATGAAGAGATAATGGTTTGGCATCATTAAATTTATTACCAAATAATGATACTAATCTGAACAAAAGAAGAAGAAAAACGAATATTGATTTATTCTTGGATTTCTTTCCGTTTTGCTTCAAAATGTGTAACAGTCTATTTTTGTTAAAGTAAATATTCAGTTATCCAAAGTTATTTGACTATAAACATTAAGACAAACAAAATATCACTCCCTTTCCTAATGGAAGAATACTAGGGAAGAAGAATTTTCATTTTTTATTTCGATATTAATGAAACTTTTCAAATTTATTATTTTTGCATTTTGATTGAAAATCGGCTACGAAAACCAAGGCGTTAAAAGTGGCTCAAGTAACGCAAATCTTATCAGAATACATTACTTCTAATCCCCCCTCCCCCTTATCCAACTCTTCGTTCTTAGGAATATGCCAATTACTTTTTTCCCCTTTGGGCAGCTTTAATATTTCATGAATGAAATGTGATGTGTAATATGGGAAATCGTGACTCCAGATAGATAAAACAGATGTGTGTTAGACATGAACTCCCGTGTATTTGCCGTGTTCCCAGTTTTGCAAATGCCAATTTTTAATTAAAAGATCACAACACCTATACTTTTGAACTACGTCAAACCTCGTTATCTCGAACTCGATGGGATCGAGAAAAAACTTCGAAATATCCAGAGGTGGATCCAGCGCCGGCGCGCCGGGCGTGCGCCCCCCCCCCCCTCCCGTTTGAATTTTTTGAAAAAAATTTTGTTTGTATTATCCTAAAATCAAGGGGAAAACACCTCTTATTTGTTAGAATTTGTCCCCCATCAAGGCTTTACCCTCGACCCACTGGGGGCTTCAATGCAGCCCGCAGACCCCCTGCCTTTTACTGCGCCCCCCGTTAGGAAATTCCTGGATCCGCCGCTGATATCCGAGGATTCGAGATATCGAGGGTAAAATACTTAAATGAGAAGTTGGGACTTCCAAATCACTTCGACATATCCATGGTATTCGAGATATCAGTGTTCGAGATACCGAAGTTCAACTGTAGTTCACGAAGAACAATATATCTTAAGTTGGTTCTTAAATCTTTGAAAGCATTTGTTCTTCCACATATCAGCAAAGATTTTAAATGTTTTAGTGGCAGTGACTCATTTAATTTACTTAGTGGAAAAGGATTTTACGACCCTTATAGAAGATTTTTATACCCTTTATAATTTAAACATGGGATCAACAGCAATATAATTTTTGATCTTTGACCTCTTGAATAAAGCTTCAAAGCAATCACGTCTCTGGTTAAGGTCAAATAATAGTATATCAAAATATAACTTTTTTCAACAACTTTATTTCCTTTAACTTGCGTAATCTGTTTTTATAAGTTCCTTATCTATCATCAATGGTTTGTTCAATTTATCCTGGTCTGACAAAACACTACACGATTTATTCAAGTTACTATAATGAGACACCTTATTCACGAAAACTACATTTCTAGGGGTCTACGAAATAGATTATATTTAGTGAAAAGTATCTTATTCAACATCAGTTCCAATTTTAAAAGGGTAGATTTTAAAGTTACGTAAGGTTGATATTGTTGAACTTTTAAAACAACCTTTTTTTCCTAAAAAGAAAAAAAAATCTTATATGTTATTACAACTACATTATCATACTAGAAATGAAAACCAAAAGAAAGAATTGATATCATTGTCATTCATGTACTTGACCAATTCATTCTGATTCCTTACTTTGAAAAGACATTTGATATAATGAATGTTACTAGGGATGATATATATCTACGTACATATCTTCTATCTTTTTACGATGTGAAAAGAAGAGAATTTTCCACAGAAAAAGTTTTGTTTGTCATCATTTCATACCTTTTAATAATAAGAACTTTGCTCTAAATACTTTTTTTAAATCATATATTAGCGTGAATTTAAATTAGCAGAGAATAAGCAGTGCAAAATTAAAGACATTAAGATATGATTATCGCTAAATTGAGTATGTTTCGTTATGTTCAGCATAGGAATCTCACACTGTTTTAATATTCAAATCCACGTTCGACTGTATACACAAAAACCTTAACTTAAAAAAGATGGATGCTCTTACTCGATGTATAAAACATTTCCATTGTAGAGTTTGCTGAATACAAAGAAAAAAATCTTTCTTGAACCATAAAATAAATTTCCTACTGTTAAAATTCTCAAATGCATCCCCTGCCGACTGGTCACATCCGCCATGTGCTCCTTGTCATAGTTCGGCAAACGGGAAAATCTGTCGACAATTCAGTGTGAAAATAATGGCCTAACAATTAGAATGAAAATAAGGTCTTGGAATAAGGTCTTTGTATCG